ACAATCATGAGCCCTCTGCCACAAGTCAATGTTCAAGGGAAACAACCGATGGAAACGAATACGTCAAAACGGTTTCTTAAGAGTTACCAAACTTTGAGTTTGAGCTTTTTATCCTAATTTTATCTAAAACAAAGAGGAAGTTATTATGTTACACACAGTGGCGTCACGTGGGTTGCAGTCAATGTGGTGCATAATTGGAAAGTGGTCAAATGAGCAATAGGCTTACTAGCTACTATTAAAATTGTAATGAGTGGTTGGCGGGCACTCTGGTGTGGTCTGTTCTTTCTATTGCTTTCTGCGAGCCCCCCCCCTCTCTCTCTCTCTGTCTGTCTGTCTGTCTGTCTGTCTCTCTCTCTCTCTCTCTCTCTCTCTCTCTCTCTCTCTCTCTCTCTCTCTCTCTCTCCCTCTCTCTCTTTCTCTGTGTGTGTGTGTGTGTGTGTGTGTGTGTGTGTGTGTGTGTGTGTGTGTGTGTGTGTGTATGTATGTGTGTGTGTGTGTGTGTGTGTGTGTGTGTGTGAGTGTGATTCATCTAGATTTCTAGCCAGTTAGAATCTACAGGATAGACCGTAATCTACATCTATGGATATTTACAACTGTTGGAAAACTGTTTCTAGATCTAGATCTAGATGAAACCGCTTAAAAGCTGCAATTTTTAAGTGGAACAATACTAACAACTCACTATGCTCACAATCTGAGAAGATTAAAAAGATTTCTAATTACTTCGTGCAGCACCAACAACCGGACTCAATTTGAAGATTTACCTTTACAGGACTTTCTACACAATAGAGGGAAGCAACAGTTTCGATACCCATTCATCTTTGAGTTACCGTACACTCTAGTGTAGAAGATAGGCTAGCGGAAACTTGGATCAAATTTTTTGTTTGCACCAAATTAATTGGTGTTGCGAAGAGGAGTTTCATGCACCTTTCTTCTTGAGCGGGAAGAATGAAGCCTAGATTTCTCTACGGTGACGAAATTGCTTTGGGGCTAAGATTTTGCTTGCTCCCAGCAGACACTACCGCACGCCGCACGCGGTGCCACGAGCATAAACCATCCTCGCTGTCTGTCTCTTCACTGGCGCATCCAGAGGGTGACGGGTTGCAAGGATGTTGTAATGTCATAGATATAAACCACTACCTATTCGCAAGTAGTGTAAATCTAGATCAGTGGCTGGCTTAGAACAATTAGAAAAATAAGGGGGGTGGGGTGTAGGCCAGGGTTAGGTGGAGCGTGCAGAAGCCCTCTCTCGCAGCGAAACCATGGTCAATCTGCGCCGACTCTCACGCTGAAATCTAATTTTATAGTATAGAGAGCATTTGTATAGCGCAAATCCCCTCTCAACAGCAAGCTCTATGCACTTCACAATCTATACTATTACCCCAGCAGACCTTAGAGCATTCTGAAATAATCTCAACTTCCTGGGAAGCATACAGTGCAAGCAGCCATTTATAGGCGCTAAAACACTAACATACTGACAAGATCTTTCGCTGTCTATGGCCGGGTACCCATTCCCACCTGGGTGAAGTGAAGAAAATTCGTGTTAAGTGTCTTTCTCAAGGACACAACGTCGGGCCCGCGGCTCGAACCCCCGAACCCGGAACCTCACGATTACGAGTCCGGTAGACTAACCACCAGATAGGATTTTATTCTGAGGTCCTTGATATTAGGAAAGTCTGAAGATTTATTTTATGTTTTAAAACCCACTTATCTCATTAAGTCTATTACTGATGTCAAAATGTAGCTGTACTAGCGGTTCCATTAAAAAAAAATATATATATATAGTATCTGCTTAACTACAACGGTGAATAACTTCTCTGTTAAAGAAAGATGAAGGAAGGGGAGGGGGGGGGGGAGAGTTTGAGTCTCCTTTAATAGTACTCTACCTAGCATCTGCGTTTGTTGCCATTTTTTGTCCAAAAGTTGCCACAAAAAGTGGCAAAAGTTGCCCAAAAAAGTTGCCATTAGTTTTCCAGCTTTCAACTCTCTGTGACGACGATATAGCAATATGTTGATAGAGATAACTTAATCTAAAGCACCAGAATTTTTTGTGCTCTGTTTTAGCATCCAGAATATCATTTGTAGTCACCCAGAGGGTAAAAACATGAAAAATAAAGGTTTCACAACAGAACGAAATTAAAATTAGAACAGCTCGGAAAAATAACCACAAAAATTAACAAATTAAGGCGCGTGTCCACCTATCGGAAGATTGGCTGTTTTAACCCTAAACGTGTGTATTTCAAGAAAAAGTAGGCATACAGGATATTACATGTAAATTACGGAATTACACATAATTGAGGCGTACCAGTGTCAGTATTCGGTTTTGGGGGAGACACGCTCTAACATGACCTTGCCTCGCTTGCCCTCAATTTTGCCAGTGAGAGCTAGATGTTCAAGACCCGTATGTCTATTCAGGTGTCCCAAAAACTGCATTTGTCGTTTCTTGATTGTTTTTAACATTGAGCGTCCCACATGGGCTTCATCAAGCACTACCTCATTTGATTTCTTTTCCTTCCACGATACTCTTAGTCTTAGAAGTCTCCTAAGAAACCACAACGTCCATTACGCTGTATAAAAACAAAAGAAAAAAGAAAAAAGAGATCATCAGAAAAAAATTAAGAAAAATTAACACACGAACATATTAAAATACAACAAAGAGGGAAAAATAAAAGACAGCAATATAAATAGTTTGTAATGTAATGTACTTATATTCTCCGCATGAGAATAGATACACCTGGATGTCTTCAAATTTACCAAAATACCTGTCTAATATGTTATGAAGTAGCTTTGTTGTTTTGTCTTTTTTGAAAAATGCCAAAATCGCGACCGCGATTCGCGACAAACGCAGATGCTAGCTCTACCCGGATTAATCTAACATCTCCGCCTGAGATCCCATCGTTTATGATTCCGGTTCACTTAAGATTCCGTTGTTTAAAGAAAAAAAAAAAGAAACAACCCCCAAAAAACAACAAATTTTATTACAGAAAAATCACCCCTAAGATCCCACCCTGGAGTCTGAAGTTCCTGCATTTTAGATCATGTTTTACTGAACAAACAAAAAACAACTTCATGGATCATCCACACTCATACAATATACGATCACATCTCCGCTCTAAATTTTTCGAAGAGTGGTAAAATGTTCGCCTCCGGCGCAGAGGCATTACAATGAAAGGATTAGATCTACACCCAGGTGTGAACTATTCGACGCCTTTGATTTCTCTGAACATCGAACGACGGCAAGGCGGGATTTGGTAGGCAGGGTCAACAGGGCCGCATCAGATGGGATCACATCGAACTGTGATTTCATCGGTGCTTTTATTTCCCTGACCATCTATCAGGTGTGCATCTGAATTTGTTACACTGGGACTGTTCGATAGTAGCCTTTGTGTAACGTTGAGCCAGCCTTTCATTCTTCGAATTTTAATTGGTGCATATTTACAAAACAATGATGGGTTACGACCTGAATATGAGCGGTGATTTCGGTCAGAGTTGAAGGAAAGCAATATAAATACCTGACAGTAGGCAAAGGGGAGGAGCAATGAGTGAGATACCGCTTTGTTATTATTAATATGCTAATGAATCCAACGACACAAGCACAATTTATTAAGACTGTAGTATTTGCGCATCAATACAGTTTGTACATTTTTATCCCATTTTAAAAGACAAAGGATAGGCCTGCTGTATACTATTTATTATTACCTTTTCAATAGGGGGGGGGGGGGTGCACCTCTTGTAAAAAAAAGGGAAACAAAGATTACTGTGCTCAATCATTCATAGACAAAGGCGTCATTGTTTGCAATCAGTTAAAGCTGGTTTTGACTCTCTTTTGCTCTATAATGTTCTTGTGTGAAGGCCGTGGCCTATGCTTTCTAGACCTACGACAACGTCGTAGTCCTTTACGTTCACCGTTCGCCATAACACATGAAAGCTAGTAAGTAATATTAATGGCACTACCCTTGAATCATGCAATCATTGGGTCAAATTCAATACTTTGGAGTATGTTTTAATAACGAATCCTTTCAGCAGGATCTTAAAGTAAGCTTTACCAAGATTTACCCTCCTGTCTGTTTAGAATAATCTTCTATTACTCGGCAAGACAACTGGGTTGTTTTTTTTCTCCATCCCTACCCCTCCCCCACGTGGGCTATCCAACCCACCGTCTTTCTTGATTTTTAAACGACTGGTAGGCTAATTATACTGTGCCTCACGACTTGTCAACAGGCGGTCAAGACATCAAGTTCATAGACAGTTGTTATTAGACAGCCCCCCTCCCCTCCTTTCTCATTCTCTCTCTCTCTCTCCCCCTCTCTCTCTCTCTCTCTCTCTCTCTCTCTCTCTCTCTCTCTGTCTCTCTATCTCTCTGTCTTTCTCTCCTCTCTCTCTCTCTCTCTCTCTCTCTCTCTCTCTCTCTCACACACACACACACACACACACACACATACACACACATACACACACTCACACACTATTTCTCTCTCTCTCTCTCTCTCTCTCTCTCTCTCGTCTCTCTCTCTCTCTCTCTCTCACTCTCTCTCTCTCTCTCTCTCTCTCGTCTCTCTCTCTCTCTCTCTCTCACTCTCTCTCTCTCTCTCTCATCTCTCTTTCTCTTTCTTTTACTGCTTCTCTCTCCGTCTTACTCTCCCAGGGAAAACCCTGTATAATAACATACTTGTAAGAACTTTAGGGCCCCATAAACATTTTCATTTTTATTCTTTCTTTGTCATCATATGTTGAAGAATTTAGCAGCCAGCTCGATGGGGACGTACGTATAGATTCTAAATCTAATAAACACGTAAATTTTTTAATAATAATAAAAAATAATATCATTAATAATAATAATAATAATAATAATAATAATAATAATACAGCGCATGCACACAGACACACAGACACACACACACACAGACACACACACACACGCACACATGCTCGCTGCAGCTTCACCAAAAAAAAACAAACAAGGGAAATATCAAGATATCGAGAGTTCTTTCCCTTCTCTCTCTTTGTCGCGAACCGTATTGCTTGCTCTTGCTGTGCGTGTGTAGCGTCTGTGTTACATCAAGTGTGTATTGTGTAACTGCCGTCCGTCACTCATCCTGTCGTCAACCATCACGTGAAACAGCAGACAGAACACAGGGAACGTTGCGAGTTGTATCAAGAACCCAAATTTGGCGAGGGCTTGGAAGTACTTTTGAGTTCCTTTTGAAACTTACTTGAAGAGTTCCAACGAACAGCAACCAACAGAAAAAAAAACACACAGCACAGTGAAAATGTCTCTTGTTCGTCAAAACTATGCCGAGGAATGCGAGGCTGGCGTCAACCGTCAAATTAATCTTGAGCTCTATGCGAGTTACGTTTACTCCTCAATGGTGAGTTCTTATTTTCAATTTTTAATTGGCCTAAGTAATCATTTGCAATAGGAGGGTCTGGCTCTCGTGGACAAGAAGGTAGGCCTAGGCTGTGGTACTGTGGTGTTCCCTCGACCCTCAGTCAAAATAAAAAATTAAAGTAAATGTTCCCAGAGGCCAATTTTTTAGGCCTGTCTATTTTTTCAGAACTCTCGGGAAAATATACATGAACTGTATTTCTCCGAATGGTTTCAGTTCTTGGGATTCTTTGGTTATTTGCAACGCAGTGAATGCGGACTCGAGTCCGAATATGAAAAAATGTTATTCGGACTCTGATTCTTGTCCAGCATGACATCACTTCCGACTTCCTGTGACTCGTGAATCCGGCTTCCTGTCCTGCCTCACTCGTGACTTGCCTCAGGCTGGGTAGAGACCGGGATCACTTCGGGCAAAAAGGCGTTTTGTGCAGGAGCCGAGTTTTAATCTTATGATGAATTTGAGGCCGGCCTGAAAAGTTAGATCGCTTCTAATAAATGTTTATTTGTCAAGAGGTCATCAGAAGCAATTAAAGATGGCTCGTTAGCGTGTGTCGGGGTCGGATGGGCGGCCTGCACACGTGTGGCTGTGTGCGTGTCGGGGAGGGTGGTGGGAGGGGGGGAGGGCACTATCGGTCCGGGCTTTGAACGTCGCATACGCGTCAGTCTTTTTCCCCCCGGCAACTGATCATTATTACAATAATAAGCTAGTCTTGACGTAGATCTACGTAATGAATTGTGCACTGGTCTATGGAATCGAAAGTTGCCGTATGCTCAGCTCTACACAGCAACACAATTTTTTCTTGGTAAACAATCGATATGACACAGGCTTACTTGTGTATTTGAACGAATCGGTCTTCTTTTTTTTTTTACACAGCTCATAATATGCAGGTGCCAGGTGGTCTGCTAATCTTCAATTTTACCTTTTTCTACAACAAAGTGGGGAACGTGGGGGGGGGGGGGGGGGGCGTATCAATGAGGCGGGGGGCATTGGATCAGCAGATAAAGTGTGGGGGAAACTAAAAAATGGCGGAAAATTGGAAGCACTGAACGTTAGATCTATAGAACGAAGACACTTCCTTTTTTCCAGACCCGAGTCCGAATAACATTTTTTCATGTCCGAATAAGAAATTTTTTTATTCGGACTCTAGTCCGAATATGAAAATATGTTATTCGGACTCGATTCCGAATAACGACGGCCTATATTTGCAAATAGAGTTGCCCGCGTGTGTAGTGTGTTTGAGAGAGAGAGAGCGAGAGAATGTGCGTGGGTATAGTGTGTGTGTGTTTTTAGGCTTAAGTTGTGAACGGTGGGAGGGGATAGGGCGTGGGGGCGTGGAGGTATTTAAAAAAACATTTTGCTTTAAGGATGACTAAATGCAGAATAGGTTACTAAACTGCCAAAGTCGAGCCTTGTTTTCTTGCACGGCACTTTTAACCTTTGTTTAGACTGAGTGTCCACTGCCGGTTTCATTCCATCCCATGAGATGAAAGGAAAACAAAGGAGTAATCCTTGACCGATTGACCATTCGTCGCTTTTCCTTACTCTGAGCTCTGGCTCAGAGCTCGCCAGTGTAAGGGAAAACGACGAACTCTCAATTTCGCAACAAAACGCATTAATATGACACAAATGTATACACCTACCAAGATGTTTCAATTGCCCTATCTCACGTCCGGGCGCGACTTGTGTTAGCGTGTGGTGGCCCGTGAATACGAATGTAAACGAACGTTCCAGCGCTCTCGAGTTGAAAGCGTGCAATTTTGTCTGTGGGCAGTGTGTGTGTGTGTGTGTGTGAGAGAGAGAGAGAGAGAGAGAGAGAGAGAAGGTGGGGGGGGGGAAGAGAGAGGGAGAGAAAGGAGGACGGAGAGACGGACAGACAGAGACAGAGAAAAAATAGAGATACGGGGAGGGGGGGGGAGAAAGGAAAGAGAAAGGGGAGAGAGAGAGACGGACAGAAAGAGAGAGATAGGGTGTTTGTTATTACAATAAGAATTATAATTGATTCTCGTCATTTTCTCTCTGCGTCGGTACCCAGGCTAACCCAGTGCAATACAGTGATTGTTGTACACATTTTATGCCCTGTCTCATCTTCCGAATCCCACTTTCTGTTTCCAATCTTTCACCTCTTGTTTCCCATGTGCCGAATCCAATTTTCCTTATCTCATATCCCAACTTTGATTCTGTAAGGGCGCTTCATTTTCCTTCATCTCATGGGATGGAACACTTGAAGCTGGCCAAAATATTAAATATATATCATAGACCTGCATGTTTGCCGACAATCGTCTGAAATCCGACAATCGCGACCCGACCAGCGAGCCGGCCGATGCTATCGCTGCCAGCGACCCCTTTTTCTCCCGTCGGCTTTGTAGGCACTATCGTTTTTGTGCCGACGTCGGAGTTTCCGACATAATTGTCGGAACCTGAGTAGAAATGCGAATCTCTCTGTGCGAGTGTTCGGAATCGGATGCGGATTTCTCGTTCAAGGCCTCCTATTCCTATTCACTTGATCTTCTAGATCTAGATTCTAGATTTATTTAGATTACAGTAATTACTAGATCTAGATCTATATGGAGGATTCATATTCCAATTCTATTGTGTTATTGTATCAAAACCTATTAGATCTAGCAAAGTAGTATAGGCCATATTTAAATTATGCTCCTTTTTGTTTTGGAGGGGTTTTTTTTGGTGGTTTTTGGTTTTTTTCATTTTGGACTTGTGCTGGCTTTTTTTACATGAGAGCCGTTGCAGGTTCTTTTTTGGGGTAGGGTTTGGGTTAGGGTTAAATCTCTTCTTTATATTGTGTTTGTTGTGGGTGGTCGCTTGTTACTCGGAAGTCCTTCCTTTTATGACACCTACAAAAGCTCGGGG